AGTATAAATAAACTCTGTCCGTGAAAAATTACTCCACGGACAAAGTATAATAATCATATACGGCCGTGTAATTATTTTAAATATTATTCTTTTTTCTTTCTCGTTTAATCTCAATACAAATGCATTTTTTTTTATTATTTTTTTTATTATGCTAAAATCCAAATTATCATTAATAAAAACCTTTTAAAATCTTTTTTTATTATAATAAAAAATTATTTTATTATTTAGCCAATTTTAAATATAATGAACCTAGTGATAGTGAGCATAGCGGACATGCTTAATTTTATCACATTTTCCCGATCAATTTGCTGATCATTTATTCATTTTTATCACATATAAAATGCTCCAATCGGAAATCCTACATAATAATATATGTTAAATTTTTACAAGTAGCTACATTTTAATATAATGAAATAACTTATTAAATTTTATCGAAATATAATTATTATTGGGTAAGTTATAATAGAAGCCAAAATTAATATAATTATAATAACATATGAAATATTCAAAATTTTATTGTAATACTTTTATAATATATTTATAAAACTTAAACTAGGAAAATATAATGGTTGGCACAGTTCGCCCATGCATATGTGGCTCTGCTCAATTCTTTGAAGCTAAATAATTAAAAATTTTAATAACATATGATTAATATATAAAATATTCAAAAAGTTGTCTCAAAGCTAACTTTTGTGTTGTTTAAAATTTTATTGTAATAATTTTATATTATTTTCTACATATCTTAAAATATGAAATATAATGGTCGGCATAGTTCACCCGACTTTGCCCAAACCTTTGAAATCTAAAATAATTAATTTATTATGTAAATTACTTAATTATTTATTTCAGCCCTAAGCTAACTTATGTAAAATATTTGATCTTGATTTATTGTTTTAGAAATATATTATACATAATCCAAAATATCTAATTTTATAATTTGTAATGTTATGCTGTTTCGCCCGAAGCTTTGAATTTTAGATCGGCTGATTTTATATAATGTGATAATTCAATTATATATGATCGGTAAAATGATCGACATGGTGATATAAGCATGTCCGCTATGCTGTGATAGTGATATATAAGCAATTATTAATTGATAAATCAACTAATAATTGGGTTATACAGTTAGAACGATATCGTGTAAATTTAAATGGAAAAATTGAAGAAATTGAAAATTTCAATGCATATAATCAAGGTTCTTTATTTATTTACTTTATCGTTACATATTTTTGTAAAGAAACTAACATTCATATATTTAGAATTGCAAAAACGATTCTGCACATAAGAATTGATTGAGAGTCAATTAATGACAACTGATCTCTCACTTCCAACGTATTTTTAAAGAAAATACATTTAATAATTATTCTTTTATATTAATTATATATAATAATTAATAAATAATTAACATATATGCTAAATTATTAAACTTTTTTTAATGTATTTTTATATAAGTAATAGCTTATATTGTAATATCATGGTCCAAGTTTAAATAAACTCTCTCCGTGACAAATTACTCCACGGGCAAAGTGTAATAACCGTGTAATTATATAATTTATTTTGAATGTGATTCACATATCTCAACATTAATGTGATTATAAAAAATATGCAATTAGTAATTTTTTTCTTTCTAAAAAAAAATTTGTGACAAATTATTAAGTAGCATTTTAAGAAAATTCATAGCTGATTGATTTACTTTTATTCTAGTGTAAATTTTAATTTCAATCGAAAATGTTGATCTACGATGTAACCAATACAATTTTTAATTTTTTATGGACTAATTCCTGTTTATAAAATATAACTAACTTTCATCTAAAGAGTTACAAATTTCTCAACTTCAAGAAAATTCGACTTCTAAAAATCAGTTCCATCCATTGATAATATTAATAAGACTAACTTTGGTTTTAGTTACATTAATGGATTCAAGGCTTCCAAACTTCAAGATATCAACTTCAATAATCTAAGATAAGAATTTGAGAATTATTTTCTGGTAAAATGATAAAAAAAAAAAAAAAATTTTACACCGTGTAATAAATATTGATCCTTTATAAACTTCTCAACAAGATTTATGTTATTAATTTGAAGACCCGTAATGTCCATCCAATTAGAAATCAAGGATGTGAGTGATATGTATGCAATGATAATCAATAAAATGCGGATAAACTATAACACTTTAAAATACACAAGATGATCAAAATTTAAGAATGAAAAAATAAAATTAAAATAAACGTGCAAACATCGAAATTATTAATTGAATCATCTTTGATTAGCGCGATTAAAACCAATTACATTAAAAGAATGTAACATTCTAACTCTCTCATTATTTCTAGCTATATTTTTCGCTCTTTCATTGATATCCTCAATAAAATCTAACGGCATTTCATTATCAGCAGTAATGTAGAAATTGAGGGCATTGAAACATTATTGTAATCCATCGCTAAAGATTTATAAGTCGATTGTTGTTTTTGTTGTTGTTGTTCATTATCAAATAAGAATTTAATGT